TAATTTAATTGTAATTTAATTGTAATTTAATAAATTTATATGCCGCCTAAACCCGTAGGACTCCGGGTATGTTGTATGCTTACAACATACAAAACTAAAAAGATAAAAAGTTAAAAATAGGAAGAGAGGAAAACAGATTTAAAAGCAACACACCATACACTCAATCTGGGTGGGGCTGGACCTCGTTCATGAGGTCAACAGCCCCAGGCCTGCCGGAATAGCCAGGTTTTCATGGGGACCCTTGGAAAAATCAAGATAATGGAAACAGAGGTCAACAAAAGATAAAGTAGCTGGAATTCCAAAGCTAGAACTTTCAAGAATTCATGGAAATGGTTAAGCAGTGAAAGACAATCTGGATAAAATAAGATAGGTGCATGGAAGCTAAGAGAAAATGGGACGACAGAATAACCACCAAAATCTGGAGGCGGTGGGCACCAGAGGTGAATTGGTAGTGGAAATTTTGAGTAGTTTGGAGAACTGGCAAACACTACCTCTGGCTGGCCCCACCCCATATATATTCGCTGCCTCCCGAGTCCCAGCTGATCATCTGGATCTTCTTTTGTTGCCCTCCATAGGAGAACGGAGCTGGAAAGCAGGTTGACGGGGTAGGGAGGAAATTGGGATTTTGCAGTATCCTTGCCCTGGAGTGGGGCGGAAATCAGTGGTAGGTTTCAATTTATTTTACTACCAGTTAGCTGTACACGTGCAGAAGCATCTGGGTGGGTGGGTGGAGCCTCCCGCTGCCACCATTACCGGTTCGCCCCAATCCCGGGCGAACTGGCAGAAACCTATCTCTGGTGGAAATGGAGATTTTACAGTATATCCTTCCCCTGGAATGGGGAGGGAATGGAGATTTTGCCGTATCCTTCCACTACCATGCCCACCAAGCCACGCCCACCAAGCCACACCACGCCCAGAGAACCAGTAGTAAAATAATGTTGAATCCCACCCCTGGTGGGCATCTGAACTGGGGTTCTTCTGCATGTAAAGAACTCTTCTTTGTTCGAGTAGTATGACTTCGCTAAAAGTGTGGTAGCACTCATCACTGTCTTGACTCGCCTAGTCCAGTGGCGATACAGAGACAATCATCTCCAGAAATTCCACCTTTTCCTTTGTGACCGCTGAGAAAAGGGCACTCTCATGAGCCGAGGTGGCGCAGTGGTTAGAGTTCAGTACTGCAACCACTTCAGCTGACTGCTATCTGCAGTTTGGCGGTTCAAATCTCACCGGCTCAAGGTTGACTCAGCCTTCCATCCTTCCNTTCTATTAGTAAATTCTCTTTTTTTTTAAATATTTGGTCACCAAAGCCATAGTTATCCTAGTAAATTCAAGAGGACGAAGAAGCAGTTAAAAAAAAGATTCAAAGGAGAATTTGAATGTTGGCATCCTAGAATGGAAACTTGTTTCTTAGTTTCTGAAACCTGGGGGCAAAGCATGCCAATCTAAGGATGAGCTTCCAATCCCCAGCCAGGAGCTTCGTCTCAGAACGTGGGCTGTTGTGGAGAGGCATTAGTTGAGACACCAGAAAAGGTGAAGAGAAATATTTCCTTACCAGGATCTCGGTGACTGCCGTCATTCCTCATCTCTGTGGAATCCGCCACATCACCGTTCATTTTCATTTCTGAAAACGGAACACGGGCAGATGTTAATGACTTGACACAACCGGATCCCACGCCTTCCAGTCCAACGGAGTGAGCAACGGAGCATCGTTAGAGTAATCTGTCTTCAGACTTTCAGATTTCTAATACCTACATGAGCAATCTCTAGAATATTCATAAAGTCATCAACCCTCCTTGCGTTGATGCTCCTCTCCTCTCTCTCTCCTCCTACTCTCATTGAGCTTGGAGCTTTCCTCCATCCTAACAATGTCCCAGCTGCCCAAAGGCAGGGAGATGACAGAAGAAACCGAGGAGACGTTTCCCCTCATGGGTCAAGGAGACAAAAAACAGCCCCAGAATTGGCTTGGGTTTCTTAACCAGAAGAGGTGCAGAAAAGCATCTCAGATTATGTAAAGAGGTCCTTCTAAAAATCTGGAGAAGGAAGTACTTCAACAAGGAAGTATCAGGTCCAGGGATGGGATTCAGATGGTTTGCACCAGTTCGGTTGAACCGGATGTTAATTTTGGGTCTGGTTCACCAAACCCGATTGTTGCAAGGACCGGCTGGCCATGCCCCGCCCTCCCCTCCCCTCCCAGGTGTCTCCACGTGGCCCATTCATCATGCCAGATAAGTGCAAGGCCGGCGCAGAGGCTGGGGAGGGCAAGAAATGGACATCCCAGAAGTTTTGAAACGTGCCCATTTCCGGCCTCCGGAGGGAAGGATGACTGAGAATCTCCATAGATACATCTCTATATCTATATTAAACTAGCTGATAATCCAGCATTGCCTGGGTATTTATTTATAGGGGTAAAATGTCCGGACCAAACGTAATTTCTAATGTTGGATTTCCCCCCTTACCAGAGGGAGCCCNATATGCTGACTCTGTAAACCGCTTAGAGAGGGCTGAAAGCCCTACGAAGCGGTATATAAGTCTAACTGCTATTGCTATTGCTATCTTCTACTCAGTATGATAGAGGGGATTCCTGAGCTCCAATTTAAGAAGGCATTTTCCATTCCAAAGAGCTTGACAGAACGCAGCAGATTCTCAGAGGCGGCGGGGACCTGAACTTCCTAGTGAATCTGTCTTCTACTTGAAATTCTTCCCTTGTTTCTCTAATGCAGCTTCCATTTCCCCCCTCTCCTCGTGACAGCCAACGCCTTAAGGAAGAAAGAGAAATCCCAACTGCAGAAAGACCTACATTTCCCTCCCCCCCGAAAAAAACAACAGAGAAGAGGTAAACAAGCCCTGAGCTTCACATTGGAAGGGAAAACATGCAACGGCGTTCTCCACCTGTTGAAAACATGATGCTGGCAGAAGAATCCTAGTTTTGCACTTTGCCTAATATGTCCATTTCCCACATGCAAAGAAACTGGTGGAGAACTGAGGGTGAGGGAACGTACCAGAGGTAGGTTGCTACCAGTTTGCACCAGTTCAGGTGAAACCGGTAGTGGAAATTGCGACTGGGTTGGCGAACCAGTAGGGACAGCAGGCTGGCCACCCCCCAAAAAAAACCACTTCCCTGATCACCACGGCATCTTTTTGGGGGGCATTTTTAATCTTCGGAACATGCACAGACCTATTTACAGGCATCTTTGCCCGGGCGCGGAGCAAACCGCATGCGCAACCAACCGGCAGTAACGCCGACGCAGCAACCCACCCCTGGAACGGACGCTGGTTGATTTCCCACCTGCACGGTGAAATGCTCCAGACCTCACCTGGGTGAACTAGCTCTCAAACCCCTTGCTTCGTTTCCCAGCCGGATTTGACACAGGGGGTGTGTGGATTGGAGCCGAGGTGGCCGCAGTGGTTAAATGCAGCACCGCAGGCTACTTCAGCTGACTGCAGTTCTGCAGTTCGGCTGTTCAAATCTCACCGGCTCAGGGTTGACTCAGCCNTGGCAGCTCTCCAAGCCAGAGAAGATCTGTGACTGTAAATCCTCCCTTGAAAGACTTTGCTGGATCTGAATGAGCAGAATTGACAATCAATTAATAAAAGGGTTTTTTGTCGGGACCAGGAGTTTGCTTCATACTCTCAGGAAGCCTCGGTCAGAACAGCCTTTGCCAGAATCTGGAGCAGGCAGTAGCCCAATAGGAAGCCAAGAGGTGTCCTTTCAACACCATGTTCTCTTGACGGGGGTTCTGCAGGTCCTTCACGGTGCTGATTCGGATGTGGAGTGGCTTCAGAGGGACTTTGGCCTCTATCTGGTGAATATCTTCGACACTCACCAGGCAGCTCGGCTGCTCAACCTCGGACGCCACTCTCTGCATCATCTGCTGAAGCTCTATTGCGACGTGGATGGCAAGAAGCAGTATCAACTGGCGGACTGGAGGATCCGGTAAGATTTGTACCTGGGGTTGAACTTGAATTAACTCTAATACTGAAATGTAATATGTGTGCATGGTATAGAAAGGATTGCAAGCAAAAAAGAATCAAAGGTAAACTAATTAAGGTGGATAAAGATAGTAGGTTGGCTGATATGTATTAATAATGGAAGGTGAAATGATTATGCCGGGTTACAAACAAGAAAAACATTAGTTGGGAAAGTTATTAGAGGAGGGGGAAACATGGAGATGAAGGGTGGAAATATGCCTAATAATATATAGTTAAAATCGTAAGATGAGATAAAATAGAGGCGCTTAATGATGTAAAAGTATGTAACAGCATTATGAGGATAGCGGGAAATTTGAATTTGTCTTGCACTACGTCCAAAAAACAGACTGTTACCCCGAGGGGGGGGAGACAAATGGAATTTGTGCAAAGGTATACCTCTAAAAGAAAAACTAGCCAGAGGGAAAATATTTTTTCTCTTTTTTCTTCGAGAATACAATTATTAATTCCATTGATACTAAATGGAGTTTGCTAAAAGGCGGAAATACACCATGTAAAATAGAGAATGGAAAGGTGATAAAGAGAGGGAAAGAGAGGGAAAGGAGGCACAAGAAGGAAATAGAAGAGAGGGAAAGAGTAGGAGAGAGGGAAGGTGTGGAAAGAGAGGAGAAGGAGAGAGCAAGGGGAAGTAGAGAAGGGAGAGAGGGCAGAGAGAAGAAGGAAGGGAGGGAGGAGAAGAGAAGAAGAGGAGGAGAGCTGAAGATGAAATAGACTATAATACGGTATATGGAAATAGCAATAGCAGTTAGACTTATATACCGCTTCATAGGGCTTTCAGCCCTCTCTAAGCGGTTTACAGAGTCAG